TCATTAGTGCTCGGGGGGGGGGGCAGGCACCAAGGCGCCCAAGAGCGAGCGGCGACGTAAACCACTCGACACCAAGGCTCCCAAGAGCGAGCGGCCGCGGAACAATCTCCACTGGCATCGTCTGAACAACAACCACCATTGTTGCCCACTGCTGCCCCCCAAACCTTCTTATCACCCGCATGGGGGATCTTTGGGTTTGTGTGTATTTATTTGTTTGTCCCAGGGCTCCTTCAACCACGATCTGACACGCGGTGCCCCGTGCGCCCCTGTGACACAGGCCCACGGGATAGGCCGGGGAGGGGCGGGGGATCCCTGGGTTCGGAGCTCCAGGGTTTTCCCCAGTTGGCAGTTTGGGATCGTTCGATTTGAAGAACAGACCGTCCGGCCCGATCATTCCGCGCACCACGGCCACCACATCCCCAGGTCCACCGTTAATTGCCCGCGACGTCCGCTTCGCGCCGACGACGAACACGACAGAGCCTGACATAAGTGATCATAACAGCACATGATGGAACATAGCACCACATAACATAACATGGCATTCCAGAGCATAACATAACGCAGCGCACCACAACATAACTCAGTATACCAGTACGACAGCAATTCAAAGCACTGAATGGAAGCCAGGCGGGCCACACAAAACACAGTATAACATCACACGACATCACAGAAGAGGACATGGCAGCGCATGCAGTGACGTAGCTGATCGTACATACCATCATACAACACATGATGTCAGGATATGGTACCGCATAGCGTATCCAAGTATCCTGCATCATATCATACCACAGTATGTCATACCATCTCAGGCCATGACAACGCATGCAATGCCATATCTCTGCGTCGCATGCTATTGCATGGCAGAGCATAACACAACATAGCAGCACAACATCACCGAGCATGACGCGCCACGGCGTCACGCTGTTCCGTCGACAATGTAGACTCGCACAATGCAGCAACGACTGATGAAGGGCGCACCGTCAAACGCAGTATCCGCGCCTGGCCACATGACAAATACAGGCGCGGCAACGAGCGGGCCCCGCGCGCATCGTTCCAGTAGGCGCGCACACCGTTTGGAACACACGCAGGAGAGTTTTGTGGGGATCGCTCGAAGCAAAATGATCGGTGGACGTTCTCGTCGATTCTCGGCGGCTTTCCTGCCTCGGGGTGCCCTCCAGCAGCTGCGCCTCGCCGAGAAGCAGCTCGAACGGCAGCTGGAGAGCCTAGCTATATGACCCGAAAGCGACGGGGTAACGCTATGGGGGCATAGGCTCGGAGCTTCTTCGGCGCTGTAGCCCGAGGGGGCCCTGAGCCACGGGGGCCCCCAGTTTCAGCCGCAGGTGGCTTGGAACTCCCCCAGCCTTAGCCGTAGGGGGCCCAGGCCTTCAGACGGGCTCAGGAACCAGGGGCCGCCCGGAGCCCCCCGCCCTTGCGGCCGGATGGGTGCCGCGGTGGCCCTGGGCCCCTCAGCCTCAGCCGGAGGGGGCCCCCCCCTGGAACAGTTCAGCCATAGCCAGAGGGGGCCCGAAGTTCCTTGGCCCGGAGCTCCCAAGAGTGAGCCGAGGGGCCCCGAGGCGGGCGGGGCCCAGAGCCATTCGGATTGAGCAGGCGGGGCCCAGCCCCGTGCGTCTTGGCCCGACCCGGAGTCTCTTAGCGTCCCGAGACGAGCACCACGAATTTTGCAAGCTTGCCCGGGACTGGCGAGGGTGCTCCCCCGCAACGGCGGGCGGGCCGCGGAGCCGTCAAGCCCGCGCGACACGGGCCGGGGCCTTCGTGGTCACTGCATGGCGGCGGGGGCACTGGCCGCCTGCCGAAATCGGCGGGGCAATTCTTGACACTTCGCGTGTCTCCACCAGTGTCCGCCGTTGGCGCTTCCGCCTGCGGCTGTAAAAAAAAAGAAGTGTCTCCACCAGCAGCTCTTGCAGCCTCAGCCCTCGGAGCAGCCCAGCGTCCCCCGGCGGTAGCCCTGAGTTGCCCGTGCGCGCGCTACCTCAATTATACCTGCTCGTAGCCCGAGCCGACCTTACACGCCGCTGGCGCCTTCGCCTGCGGTTGCGAAAACAAATAGGTCCACAAGCGCTCGCAGCCCGAGCCGACTCGAGACGCCGCTGGCGCCTTCGCCTGCGGCTGCGACAAGCAAATCTCCATCAGCCCATCCAGCGTCGATTCCCAGGCGAGTCGCGGCAACCCCCCCAGGTTGAGAAGTCCTCCCCTGGGGCCCTCCCATCCCGAAGGCCACTGCAGCCTCCCGCGAGCTTGCAGTGGCCACCCCGGGTCCGAGCCGACTGCGGCTGCCTCAAGTGTGCCCATGTCCCAGGGCCGCCGTGGGCGCAGGGCGCGTGGGAGCGGCATTGGACAGCACCTTTCGCAAAATTCGCACCTCGGCCAAAGATTTCCCATGGCCATCCAACTTCCCCCATGCCCCTCCAACCTTCCCCATGTGAATGTCGCCCCGCCCAACCATCCAGACCTCGCCCGAACTTCCACATGTCCATCCCGTCTCCCCTATTGACCGCCCAGCTTCCGCATGCCCCCAGCGCCAACTCTCAAGCCTCCTCATGACCATCAATCCTCATCCACCTCGAAACGCGCCTCGTTCGAAGGCGCTTGTCCTTAGTGGCTGGCGGATCCGATCGAGGCAAATGTAATGCGACATTCGCACTGCACGCAGGACTAAAACCGTACCTCTGCGCCACAGAACATATTGCTCGCTCCAGGTTCATTGCGGCCCCATGCCAGTATAACGTGCAATGTATTGCAGTCGGCGGGTTGCACTGCTGTTTTTGTTGGCCGACTGCGGCGTGGCCGTCCAGATCCGACGTGATCGCTTCGAGAGCCTGCGAACAGGGGGCGTGGGGTGCCCGAGAACACTGTCCGCATCCGCTATTTGATGCGGAAGCCCGCTCGCATCGAATTGGCGGGCCTTGGCACTTCGAGCGCGCACGAAGGTTCAAGAACCCGTCAAAAACAATTCGTGACGTGCATCAGTTATGACAACCACATCATGCGAATGCATCGTTGTAACGAATCTTGTCATGATTCCCGGAGCACCACGCCTTTTCTATCTGGACCCCTTTTTGGGCTTCCCACGTCGATGGCGACCTCCGAGGAACAACAAACGACACAAACGCATGCTGCAGGGATTCCCCGCAGATCTCTTGGGTCGGCGTTGGAAGCCCTTGCGGCGCCTCGGGCGCCAGCGCGCGACGCGCGACGCGCGCCAGGCAGGGGGTTCCAGCGCCGATCCCAGAAATCCGCGGGGCGCTCCGAAAGCCAATGTGTTTCTGCAGCGCGCCCTTCCTCCGCCCTCCCTCCTCCTCCTCCGCCCTCCTCCCTCCTCTCCTCCTCCTCCTCCTCCTCCTCCTCCTCCTCCTCCTCCTCCTCCTCCTCCTCAGCGCCAGCTGGCACGAGCGCGGTGCTCGGGGCCAGCCAGCGCCACGGGCGCCGCCGGGCGCCGCCGCCCCCTCCCCTTTCCCCCCGCCGTCCCGGCACCCTCCCTGGCGGCATGGAGGCGGCCGCCGCGCCTCGCAGGCGCCGGCCGAACCGGCCCGCCGCCGCGCGCAGGGCCCAGCAGCGCCGCGCGGAGGGGCGCGCCGTCGAGCGGCTGCTGGCGGCTTTCGCGGCGCTCAGCAGCCACCGCGGCTCAGCGCCCACCCGCCTCGGCGCCGCCCTGGCCGAGGCGCTGCAGCCCGCGGGAACGCGCGCAGAGCGCCGCGCCGCGGAGGACGAGGAGGACCCGCCCCTGACAGCGGAGGCCTACCTCGACCGACTGCGGCGGCGGCGGCGCGCGGAGGCCGAGCGCCACGAGGCGGACCAACGGCAACGGCAGCAGCGGGCGGAGGCCGAGGACCGCGACGCCTTCTACGAGAAGGTGGAGGACCAGCTGCAGGCGAGCCGGAGGGCGCAGGCCACGGCCGACGCGGGGCGCTTCTCGCGGCTGCGCGCGCGCCTGGACCAGCAGGAGCGGCAGGCCGCGGCGGAGGCCCCGAGGGCGCAGGCCGCGCCTCAGCTGACGCCGCCAGTCGCGCAGCACGCCGAGGCCAGGGCGCTGAAGCCAGCTGCGGGACAGGCGGTGAGGGCAGCCGACCCGCCGACGGCGACGGAGCGCCTCGCCCAGGCTAGGCGCCAGGCGCAAGCCGAGAGGCTCCGCCCGAAGCCGAGGCCACCGCCCCCTCCCGCTCGGCAGCGACGCGAGGAGCAGGCTGCGGAGCGGCGCTGGGCGGACCTGGCGGGCTTCGCACTGCAGGCGAAGGGGCCCAGCGCGCGGCTGCGACGGCTCCGAGCGGCCGAGGGCGAGGAGGCCCTCGCGCGCGGCGGGCCGAGGGCCGAGCGGCTAGCCGACGCGCGGCGCCGCGCCGCAGACGCCCGCGCGCAGCTGGCCGCGGCGCAAGCGGACGCCCGCGCGACGGAGACCGCGGCGCGGACGGCGCAGGCCGCGCTGCTGCGGGCGGCGGCCGCGCGCCAGGGGGCAGCTGAGGCCGCGAGGGAGGCCGAGCGCGACACGAAGGCGGGGCAGCAGGACGAGGGGGCGGACAAGAAGATGCTCTGAGTTTCGGCCTGTGGCTGTGTAATGCTTAGAGCTGTACGCGGCCTGTGGACCCCTAGCCCGCTGGGCTGCGCGGTGTGCGAAGATAGCTGCGCTTCCCCTGGGGTTGGCGTTCCTGGCCCGCGCCGCCTGCGCGCAGTGCAAGCACTGTTGTGGGCGGCCGACCTGCGCACGCGCGCCCAGAGCGCGCTCGCGCAGGCGAGCCACGAAGTGGCGGCCTGAAAGAGCTTGGAAAGAGCTCCTCCTCCTCCTCCTCCTCCTCCTCCTCCTCCTCCTCCTCTCCTCCTCCTCCTCCTCCTCCTCCTCCTCCTCCTCCTCCTCCTCCTCCTCCTCCTCCTCCTCCTCCTCCTCCTCCTCCTCCTCTCCCTCCCCCCGACCCGAGCCGATCTCGCGGTGCGACCCAGTGGGGGCCTGCCGAGGCCCGAGGGGCCCGAGAGCACCCCGCGCCCGAGAGGCCTGGCGGCGGCGCGCCCGACAACGTCAACGCGCGCGCCGCGCTCGTCAGCGGGCCGCCAGGCATCGGCAAGACCACCACGGCGCGCCTGGTGGCCCAGCTGCAGGCAGGCCCCGCGCGCCCTCCACCGGGGGAGAAAAAGATACGGATACGTGTTGTCTCCCTTCGTTTTCGGCCTTTCCTGGTCCTCCTGGGGAATCCTCGTTGTCACCGCTGGATTCGCCTCGAAATTCTGGTCAGAACGCACCCCAAGAGAGGTCCGGGGACAACGCGTATCCGTATCTTTCCGCCCCCCAACTCCACAGGGGAGCGAGCCATGACATGAGCATCACTCGGAGGTCCGCGCGGATGTCTCGGATCCGCGCCGGAGCCCCCACGGTGGCGCATCCGGCGCCGCCCCATGGCGCCCTCCGCGCGCCGGGGAGAGGGGTCCAGCGCCGATCGGAGAAATTCGTGCGGATCTTTGAGTTTTTTTGTTTGTGTCACCCAGGCTGCAGGGCCCACGTCGTCGGGAGCCGTGGGACGGGGTCCATGCAGGCGGGGTCCGCCAGGGCGCCGGACCTTGCAGGATCCTGCAGAACCAGGGGCGCATGGATCCGGGCTTGGGTGCGGGATTATTGCAGGACCCTGCAGGATGTTGCAGGCTCTTGCAAAGCCTGACTGACCCGGGTCTGGATTGACCCTGGTTATCCGACGAAGGCATCTATACACCACCACCGTGCCAGGCCAGGGCCATCCTGGGCCGTAGGATGGTGTATAGACCCTCCTGGCTCGGCCAGGAGGGCGTATACACCATCCTTGGGCCCAGGATGGCCCTGGCCTGGCACGGTGGTGGTGTGTAGATGCTTTCTGCGGATGGTTAGTGGATCCCGACGCCGATCCCGTCGATTCGGGCCTGCCTGATCCGATCCCGATGTGCCAGCGGCTCGATGGGCGGCCCGATGCTTGCGTTGCGTTGTTGTGCGTTCTGGCGCAGCCGCTCCGATTCGATTCCGGTCCCATGCCGATGCAGCCCGATCCGATCGATGCGCACATGACTCAGAGCCCCGAATCATCAGGGGTAACTCGGGTCAGGGCTAACTCGGGTTCGTTTTTCGGGATTCCGAACCCGACTTACCCCGGACCCGACTTACCCCGGATAATTCGGGCGTCCAAATGACGGGCCAATTTTCCACCACCACTACCAGGAGTAGGTTTGGGGAGAAGGGAGGATGGGGAGATCTTCTTCTTCCTCGTCCTCTGCCTCCTCCTCCTCCTCCTCTTCCTCCTCCTTCGTTCTGGTTCGTGATTTATGTCATCCAGAGCTTCAGCACCCACACGGTCTGAGGCTACGGCCTTTTGCGCCTTGCCCAAAGGGCACGGGCACCCCCGGTGCCCGGAACCGGCGCCTCCGCTCCGCTCCGCTCCCCCCCCTCCGTAGCCGTTTCGGCTCCAGCCATTGGCCCAAGTGGGAGTAGGACCACATTTGTGCGGGCAGCTTTTCTTGAAGGAGCGATCCAAGTGTCGTGCTCGGGCGGACACCCTCAGTTTTGGCATGCCCTGTGCTGACTCCGCATCTCCTGGCGCCGACGTCGCCATGGAAGGGACCGAGGTTTTTTCAGCGACATGTTCTTTCGCGCGGATCTGAAGAGGGAGCTGATGCCTCGTTGTATGCTATTATTGCCTGCATGGCTGGGGAGTCGAAGGCCAGACTGTCAGATTGGATTGGGCCCCAAGGGCCAATCTGGCCCGGCCAAACTGGATGATTTGGGTTATTCGCCAGACTGGATTCGCGTTGGCTCCCTCGCCAGATTGCCCCCGTTTGCCAGATTGGGCCTGCCAGATTGGCGCCAGATTGGCTTCGACTACCCAGCATGGGGCGCACCATGGCCACGAATAGTGATGTCACGGGGCTGCAGGGTTCCGTGCAACCGTGTGAGGAGAACGTTTCCTTGATCACCGCCAGGTTGAACATCCTTGAAGCGCAGGTGAATGTCGGTTTGTACTCTTTCCCATCAGACCGCGCTCATTCGCCAGGGTGGAGGCCAACATTTGGCAGTTCCAATCGCAGGCTGACACTGCGAGCGCTCGTTCCATTCCGTCTGCTGCTCCGTCTCTGCCCCGACGCAGGTCTCGTTCTGCGGTTCCGACCTTTTCTGGCAGTTTCACTGGTTCTGGCGGCTTCGAGCGCGACGCCGACGCCACGATGATCTGGAATCGCAGGGTTCTAGGATCCTACGCTCGCCCGTGTGATGACCAAGTTCATGAATTAGAAGGCCTTCCCGCCTCTGCCGTCTCACATCAAAGCGTGTTCTGTGAAAGTCGAGCCCGCCACCGGCGCGCAGGCCTTCCTCGAGCATGCCAAGCTTCACGGGCTGCAGTTCGACAGCCCTGGAGGTGCTGTCGCCCTTCGCGCTCGCCGCGATGCCACGCCTGATGTTCGCCGTCGTAGTGTTATCCATGAGAGTGTCTGGCAGGGAGTTTCGCGTCACTCCACCAGCAAAGGCGTCGGCCAGGGCGTCACCACGGGTGTCAACGGGCACAGAAGCATCCTGTTCTTCATCAGGAACGACACGCCCGCCAGCATCAGCCCAGAGTTTGAAGCGTTCAAGTCCTTGCAGATGGAAAGAGACCAGGCCTCGGCCCTCTTGAAGGGCGCCGTCGAATAGAGGTGTTCCTTGCCTATCACGTCCGGCGCCAGCCAGGGGCCGCGAGGGCGCTCGCCCTTGCCGACCGCGCACAGTGCGTCTCGTGCGAGGGGGCGACGCTCTTCGTTTTTTTTTGTTTTTTGTCTCTCTTCGGCGCTGATGTCCAGTTCTTCTTCGGTCTCGCTCTCCTCGTGATCGCCTTCCTCTCCCAGCTCTCCATCTTCTGCTTTGAAAGTTTGCTGCCCGGCTGTTGCCCTATGCCGTTTTAACCGGGCGCCGACTTCTCGATCGTCCCCCGGAATGCTTGGTCTCCGTCCGGGGGGCTCTCGATCTGCCGCGTGAAATCCAACAGGGAGAGTTTAGTACATGTTTCAGCTTTGCCAAGCCAGGAGGACCCCAATAACCAACGCGATTTGGAGCTTCCCGAAGAAGCGTGCAACACTGTCATCGGGGGGGGGGCCTGCATCGACGATCGAGCAGCTGGTGGCAGTCCAGTGTTTGCGCATCATCGGCTTCGGGGCAAGTTTCTCGCCCTTCATCGCCTCTCGCGTGTACCTGGTCGCATGCGCAGCATGGCGCTCCATGGTCAGCGTAGTAGCTTGCAAGTATGTAGTATTGACGTGGATCGTGGGCCATCTATCATGCAGCAGAAAGGTGAACATCGGGCGATCCGCAATCGTGTTCTCAGGGCTGACGTTGGCCCCTTTTTATATATGTGGCGATTTCCACTTCCCTGCCGAGGGCGAAGGCTCTTTCTCTTCTGACGGGGGAATCCGCTTTGGCAGTTCCAACCGCGGTGCCTGCGCTACCGCGTCATATCCCGACCTGCGCAGGGTTGGCCAGCACCTCCTCACCCATCGCGCGATCGATGCTAGCGGCCCCGGGCGTACCATCGCGTGTCTCGCCCGCCTGGACAGAGTGTACAACAACAGCACTAGCAGCTTTCTCTTCGTTTTCAAGCCGAACAGTCCGCTGCTTTTGGGCGGCGCACGGGGAGTGGGCCACGTCTGGCCATGCGCCTGTGGCTTTACGATTACATGTATTGCGGCCTTGTGGTTTTCGCATTTCTCCCCGGGTTCGCAAACGCGCTCGGCGCCCTCCCTTTTTGGCGAACCTTCTGGACAGAGCGCGCCCTCGGGGCCCTGATCCCGTTCTCGCTTCGCAAGGGAAATATGCGATCAGGAAGGCTGCGAAACGTGTTATTGATGTTTCGCGATCTGGTGGCCCACTATTCGGCGCCTTCGGTAAGGGCAGCTTCTTTTTCTGCGGCGCGCTCTGCGCGGTTACTGATCTTCCGAGCTTGATGCGTGGGGGGTCTGGCACTTGCAGGGGCCCCTGGGTCAACAAGATTCCGAACCGCGTGCAGCGGCCTTGTTGTTTGCAGCGCGCTGGGGGCAGGTGCATGCCCTGGTCGTCGTCCAGCGCTCGCGTCGGCAGGAGCCCCTGCCCTCCATCTCTCACGTGCCTCCTGTGATAGTTGCCAGTTTAAGAGTTTCCTCTTGGAGTTTGAAAAGTTTTTCCAGTCCGCCAAGTGCGCCAGAGACTCGCGCCCGGGGCCCGACGGCATTCCGTGCAGCGGGCCAGTCGCGCTTGCCAGCTCTGACGATGAGCTGATCAGCGGGGCTGTCAACCAATCGGCCACGCGTGTCCCGCAGATATGTTGCGCGGATGTTCTGAGCGGTTTCATCCGGGGGGGGGTCACGAACAATGTTGTTGATTTTGGAGTTCGGGGCCCTCCGGTAGAGCTGGCACCGCGCTCTATACCGACGTCTGGGTCTCCGCCTGCGTCGGCGGGCGAGAAAATCGATGCTAGGTGATTCGTTTCCAATAGAGTGGTTGCACTTAAGGGCTCCAAGGGGGCCTTCGCGGGGCCCTGGGGCCGTCGATGATACGTATGAAAAGGTGTTCCCAGGTGCGGGCAAAATGGTTAGCGAACAACACGCACCCACACACAGGAGGGACGGAGGTGGCCATGGGTTCGTGCTGTCGGATGGGGGTCCCCGTTCGAACGGGAGCCTCCCCCAGGGTCCGACAACCCGCATCCATGACCATAGCCAGTCTTCCACCCTCTGACCCTCCTTTGGGTATGGTTGTGTATGTCGTTCGTTCGTCGCAGAACTTGTGTCCATACCCACTGCAGCTTGGAGCTTCGGGCTCCCTTTCGCCAGAATGCCGAGGCGCATTGGATACGTCTGACCACTTGGAGGCTCGATGTTGGTACTTATCGAGTGCGCCTCGCCCTTGTGGCGCTCCTTCCGAGAGAGTTCAAGGCGAACTGGATCGGGGAGTACGTCTTGCCCGCATCAGGGCGGGTCCCTCAGCAAGCCTTCTGAGCGTGCGCCAGCGTGTGGCAATCAATAAGAAAACGCAGAGTCATCGTCGATTAGCGTCGACTTAGCGTCGATCGGCGTCGAGTCGCTTGGGTTTCGCGTCGGATATAGCGGCGATTCGCGAGAGTCAGCAAGAAGCATGATTGCAT